TATCCAACGCAGTTAGCTGAATTTACATAAATCCTCAAGATTAACCGTCGATTTCGACGGGGTTCCACTAGTCTATATATTAATTTGAAACTGTTTTTCTTTGTCATAGCTATTTTGAGAGAACGGCTGGGTGTAGAAACTCGGTAGAGGTGTCTAAAGAAAGGTCTTGGTCTGTAGATGAGCCATCAAAAGAGAAACATGGCTAATTTCCTTGGGGCTCTGCCCCAGTGGCTTTTAAATTCCTATCCCATGTTATTCTTATGGAGGAAAAACGGGTTTTTGTCACAGCTAATTTCAGAGAACGGCTGGGCGTAGAAACTTGGTAGGGGTCTCTAAAGAAAGGCCTTGGTCTGTAGATGAGCCATCAAAAGTGAAACAAGGTAAATTCCCTTGGGGCTCCACCCCAGAGGCTTTTAAAGTTCCCTTAGCAGATTTGTTTACATTTTGGCAATGTGGATAAGCTTTACACTACTTTTAATTAACCAACTGTTATGAGCATTAACTGAATCTGTCAAAATGAAATGTTTACATTATTATTTAACGACTTTAAGATTGATTTTCCACTGCATGGCAAGTTTTTTATAGTTTTTAATGTTTTTATAAAATTATGAATTTATGATAGGCATGTTTAAATGTTTTTGTTCTAAAATCTATGCTTTAATGCACTTATAAAATGTTGTATTATGAAATAACTGGGACATATCAATTTCAAAGGAACAGATAATTATTCCTCATCGGGTTAGGTTATATTTAGTAGGGGTTGGCGCTTGCATTGTTTTCATTTATCATTACATTCAAGAAAGAACGTCAGAGGTTTGTGAGATTATTAGCATTTAAGTTTTTGATAATCGGGTAGAAAATTGTGTCATAGAATAAAAGCTATGCAAGTGTTGAGGAGTACGTCGAGGATGTGAGCTGTGTTCAAGTTTTTAGCATGGAGTATGTTTAATCTATGGTTTTGGTGAAGTAGGTGAATTAAAGGCAATTCAGGTATTAACTAAATAAAACAGTGCCTTCACATCTCATGTCTTTTGTATAATTTGTTGCCAACAAAGCCGGACTAGGTTATGGATGTGGTTCCGCAAATGTTCAAGATTTGTGGCCAAATTCACTACAATTATGGTTCATCCCATCCACAAAATACATGCACAACTTTATGTGGTCCATACGGCCAAGGCCATTATTGATCTTCGCATATCAAAAGTTCAAGTTTGACAGCAACCTCGTGGAATGATTTCACAAAACTACGCCAGAAGTTAAACAATTAGCGAATAAGTACATTTAGATTAAATACATAGGTCAATGTGGCAAGAGAAGGAATCAAAATTGTTTAGACCCCCATCGAAGTAGGAATGTTACTGCTTTCTGGAGAATCAGATATGTTTATCAATAAAAAAAACAGATATAATATGCCTCCCACTGATAAAATTCTGTATTTTTATGACCAAAGATGGTGATTCACTTATACAATCCAAATACAATCTGAATGATGTTCCTAAAGCAGATGGAACCAGTTATTTTAGTAATATGGTAAGATTGACTCTTTCCGTCAGATGACAGACCAAATTATATGAACTCCTTTCTCCATATAGTGAAAGAGGCTTTAACATGAACAAAAGTCATGAACAAGAAACAATTGTAAGACTCCTGAAAAGCCTTTTGGGTAACCTAAAGCCGATAAAAGGAGAGAAAATATTGAATTCAACGAATACATTAACTACATGTTTTAAGGTACACAATCGTCTTACTTATAATTATGTTTATCCTGCCTTCATTTTACTATGATTTTAATAACTTCACTCTATCCATCGCATTTAGCTAAATTTACCTAAAACTCAAGAGTAACCGTCGATTTCGACGGGATTCACCTAGTATAGGATGAAAGCCAAATTTTATCAACATACATCCATAAACAAGTAAACTACAACAGTTTTCATTTTCTCCATAAGAATAACATGGGTATAAATTACACTATTTTTGAACTTTCTCCGTGACCGTTAGGCATACAACAGCGCTTCAATATACTAAATTATTCCTTTTTTAAAGCTCTACAAAACGGTTTAAAAATAAATTGCAAATTTTTATTGTTTTGGGGGGAAAATGGAAAAAATCCTATTTTTACCCAATAAACCCCGTTCCCATGGTCGGATTATGCTGGTTCGTGAATTCGTTCGAATAAACGTAGGTTAGCACGTTTGTACCAAATTTCATCAGAATCGGATCATTTTTGCTCGAGTTATCGAGTTAAGGACACACATATTTAATACCTATATATCAATTTGAACGGATGGTGTTTTTACCTCTAGGGGCCTCAAAACGAAAAATTATATCGGTCCCGGGTCCAGGTCTTACCATGAGTAACGGTAATAGCTTATTCCCTATATGGGAAATTCGCTAAAAGATTCTACACATCTACATGAAAATATCTTTTCAGCAGTATGCGTAAAATTTCCCTGCAATGCACACGAGATGAAAAAAGTTGTAAACAAACATGCTTGCCTATGAATATTTAGATTGGGCTAAAGGAGACCGAAAATGGATATTTTTATTCAAACCACAAACTCGACAGCTTTGGCAAACAATACCATAGATTCAAATAGTGCATCAATAACAAATAGGCCTACATCAATACTTACTCCATATACTGTGTATAGGGGAGACAGTAAAAAAGGCGGAATGGAGATACTGTAATATAACATTTATTTTTGTTCTAAATGTAAGTATTTGAAATATTTTTCCAGCGTGGCAGTTAATACAAAATTTGAAGTGGCGCCTTAATTTTCGAAATTGATGAATATTATTAAGGAAGTATGGCGCATCGACCAAAAAGCCTCTGAAAAAAAATGTACTTGATGTCTATCCCTCGCAAACATAGTTTTCATTATGATGACACATGCAAAACTCATATAGACGTTGTTACATTTTGTAATGACGTCCTATGGAAAAAGTACATTAAATTTAATGTTTTATCTATAAAGTGTTATATTTTTTACGGAGAATGCAGTTAAGTGACTGGAAGACTGACTGCTACAGAAATACAAGATCATGAAAAACCATTTTTTTTTTTTTTTTTTTTAGGGAGAGGAGGGAAAATGCTTTTACGCACACAGGTAGCCAGCCTGTAGTGTGAGACTCCTGAAAATTATCAGACTACTCACTAAAAAACCCCCTCTACTCTGTTGGACACAGACCTGGAATTGTTTGTCACATTACTTCAAGTCAGGCCACATGTGACCTAAGCCCACAGGGCTCGCACCGTTTCTGGCATTTAGATTCTTAAATGACCTACACCGCATCCCGGTCAAGGTCGATCTTCTTGGCGCGGAGAATACCCTGGATATAATGTGACACACAGGTCCAATTGTCCTCACCCTCCGTCATAATCGGTATGACCGTGTCCACCGACAGCAGTCCTACTAACTGTTAAAAAATAGGTAATGAAAAACCATTAGCCAGTTAGCATATTACAGTATATTTTTAACTATCCAAATCTTTAGAAATGAATTAAGAATATGATTATGAATTTCTTTTACGATTTAATTTCCACTCAAATAACAACTTTTAAACAATTACGAACCTTTCGTTTTAATAAAATGGTACCAACGAACGTTGAATTTAACTTAAGTTAAATTTCTTTAGACAAATGATTATTTAACTAATACAATTTCTTTTTAACACATACCACCTTAGAGATAAAATTTAAGAGGTTCAGTAAAAGTAGTAGAACAACAAATGTCACGTATAGTTTGGTGTTGGTCGTAGAGGGTCGGTAATAGATTGGCTAAGGCTAAAAATAATGATTTTTAATTCAATTCAGCTAGACTACGCCCCTGATTTCAACTTTCCTTCCGCAGCATGGCTACACTGCTAGGTAAATGCAGTGATGTATAGTCAGTATGTTGTAACGAAATTTCCCGTTCGAGCCCGTTTAAATTTTAAATTGTTTGAGTTTTCTCCGTAACCATTAGGCGCATAACAATGCTTCAATATACTAAATAATTTGTTTTAAAGCTCTCCAAAATAGTTTGGAAAGAAATTGCAAAATGTTATGTTGTCACTGCTTTTTATGGATTGCCATATTGGTAATGGAAAGGTTAACAAAAGAATCAAAGCTGCAGTTTGTTTAGGAAAATTAACGCAGTTTTTCATTTCCTCATTTCCGATGTAAGTTCTGGAGAACGTAAAATTGTTATTTGGGTTGATCTGTTTTAACACTAAGCTAGCAAGTTAAATGAAAAAGCTATTTACTATATCGTTATATATTTCTATTTCATATAAATTTATGATTGAAAAAACTTTGGATGGATATCATAATCATCCTCAAGCAAAGTTTGGCCTAGGTAGCAAGTCTTAACTACCATCTTCTTACACGAAAAAAAACAGTATAATAATACAAGTTTGACAAAATGTCAGATTATTTAAAGCCTTCAAACAACAGAACACAATTTATATACACATGATAGTTGGGATAGCATTGCCAAATTTGAAGGAGACTGCAAGCGCGGTGAATAGAAGTCGTTCGGAGTTAAGAAAAAGAACGACTCTCCATTACATATGCATCCGGACTCAACCGAGCTGTTCAGCAAGAGCTGTTCACCTTCAATTTGAATCTCCCGCTCTTTGTCGATCTGTTTTGCTTGTCGACATTTTGCGTGTCGATAAAGTGGGAAAATTTACACAACCGTCCCACATAACAGACATCCCACATAACCGACATCCCACTTTACAGACATCCCATATTACCGACACTGTCGACATTTTGAGTTGTCGACAAAGTGGGACTATTTCAGTGTCGATCTTTTGGGATGTCGATAAACTGGGACCCCACGGCTCTAAACAACACTACTTGCGAGCCGTTAAAAGTGGCCATGACAATACCAATACTTTTATAATCTTTGGTTAAAGATACTCCGAACTTAATACATACATTCCAATTTCAAAGCTATTCATGTTAAGATAAAAAGCAAAGACATTCAAATAAACAAAATTGATCTAACCTCAAGAAATAAATCAAATGTCAAATTTCACTTAGCTACCATTTATTTAGAAATATAGGCTATACTTGTATTATTGCAAATAAATTATAAAATTATGAAAGGAGAGTTGGATGAAACTAGTTTAGAACATCCCATCAAGACTAAGGGACCTCATGGATTAGGTAAATATTGATAGACTACACGGCTTCTATTTCTGAAAACTATTTCTATAGATTGTTTCTTGAACCACTACTTAAGTTATTATAATATTTGTAAAAAGTTCTATAAATCAAACTTTTATTGTAATTAAGAACCATTCACTTAACTTAACCCTCCAAGTGTCTCTAGTTTTGGTCTTAATGTTTGCCCATTTATTGCGCAATCGCAGGGTTTTCTTAAAATGTATCTTAGAAACTTAAAAACAATGTAAAGTATACTGTTTTATATATCATTTTGTTTGGAAAATTATGGGCTTCAATGTAACATATAAAACATTACAAAAAAATGTTCAACAATTTTTGTGGGGTTAACATTTCTCAAAAATTATAAAATAAATGAAAAAATGTATGTTTGCGCTCAATAAATTGTTATAATTTATAGGTCTACAAATATTTTAAAATAGGTAGCCACTTTGTTCAGAATTTTATGAGGAGTCCAAAAATATAATAATAAGGAAGTAGATTTGCAAATAAATAAGTTATGGGCAAAAAACAGATTTCGGTACATAGCGTTTAGCTAAGAATGCATAGCCTAACCATAGCTAGGAATCTGGCTGATAATTTACATCAATATCACTACCTACTTCTTCAGGATCATCAACCAGCCCTTCAAAATCACTTAAATCATCTTATAATGCACCACGTATATCACTTCTTTTGATTTTTAACACAAACAATGATAAACATAATAAAACACATCAGTCATCGGTGCGAGGTTAACCAAGCTGTTTACAAATACCATAGTTGGGAAAGTTAGTCAAAAATTCTAGGCCTAACTAGTTAGAAGTTATAAGTTAGTCCCGTAAAAAGTAACTGATAGAAGTTATAAGTTAGTTAGTTTAAAAAGTAACTGATAGAAATTATTACAGTAGACCCCCTCTTAACCGACCCTAATGGGACCGGACCTACGTCGGATAACTCAAAAGGTCGGTTAAAACAAGCAATCAATAAAATCATAACATAATGAAATGCTATTCATTTGGAATTATATATTCAACATTTTGAAGTCATACTTGCATTGGTTATAAAATAAACTACTCATCTCCTTTTTCGTATTGATAAAAAAGTCACAAATAAACACAAAACACGGTTAAATCTAATACGCCTACTTTCAGTGGAATATATTATAATACTAGTAGGTAACAGTCAATAAAATTCCTATCTTAATAACTTTAGTACTGTAATGTAGGCTATTAATTGATGCTTTCTAAATCCATTGTAATACAGTACAGAACCTTTTGTCGAAATTAAAGATACAAGCAACCATTTTGTTACAAGGGACAGGATGTTTATTTATAACCTCTCACTGTAGGCTCGAGCGAGGCACTAAAACTAGCTTGACCTTGGAGTTGTTTACCCCCCTTCCCTGCCCTCCCTACAAGTTGTGTTGTTAGTTTACTCCGTTTACTCCAGCGATAAGATAATCAGTTCTCAAAATCGTAACGCACTTTATGGTGTTTTAAATTTGCCGCACAGATAACATATCAGATAAAATGTGCTCGAGCTACGATAACGAACGATGATGACAAACTGACAATAGGCTATGCTATATTTTTTGTGATCAACACAAAATAACTTATTCTTAGTCATACCCTGTGGAGATAAGCGTATGGTTCAGTTCTCATCGCCCAGCAAGGGAGCGGAAATGCCGAGATTCCTTGAAAGTGGCGATTAAACCGAACTGCTCTCAAAGCAAGGTCGGTTAAAACCAACTGTATTATTTCACGATCGAAGGCGGATAATCCGATTATCGGTTAATACGAGGTCGGTTAAGAGGGGGTCTACTGTAGTTAGTTGAAAAACTAACTGATAGAAAATAAAGTTAGTTTTAGTAGAAATTAGTTGTTCGTTGGGCAGTTGTTTTAAAGTATTTTTTAATGTCACATCTTGGTTACTACTATAGTATGAGTAAAGATATGATTTAAAAAATAGCTCCTACGATTTCCTCCAATTTCAATGCTAATTGAAAATTGCTTGTATAATACATTTGCATTGTATGATGTCTTACTAACCAAAGGGATAATTACGACTGTTCAAAAACATTAAGTGTTTTACTGCAAAACAATATACACTGACATTGAACTAAAAATCTAAAGGAAAGGCCAAGGAGATTTGTATTTTTTGACGATGCACCGCACAAATTGATGCGTTATTACACCATCCCGTAATTATAGTTGCAACGTTCCACGATCCCAGTGACATAATGCAATAACGGTCTTCAGATAACAGATGTTATGTATCATGAGTTTTATATTGATTGAAGCTTATTGTGGACATTTTATAGATTGATCGTCCAAATTAAAAAGTATTGTAGACTAAATTGAGGATAAGTGGATGTCTAACAAAAACGAATTGACTTTACTACTTAATTAATCGTAGTAAGACTGAAAATATTTGTAGGCTTATAAGCTACATTTTTTACCTCTTGAACAAATCAAACACCTCGAGCAATATCGGCCCCTGGTACTTGTGTTTCAATCACACATTGTCACATTTTACATTACTACAACATAAACAAATGACATAAAACTTGTCAGATAATGAACATCAACTAAAGACAATGTTTTGACACTTGAGATGATATATCAATCACCAAACAAACATTTCCCCTTCCCACCCATCAGTGCTTGGGGTGTTGATAATAACCGTCACTACCCTTCCACAGGCCCACTGCATTCCAAAGCAACTGGACTTTGACTTTCTCTTTCCCCACCCCCCGCGTTGTTTGTCTACAAGGGCACTGACCTCTTACGGCCGCACGCAACCCTCACTGATCACGTGAAATAAATAACCAGTATTTGAGATGCTTCCGCATAATTGGGAAAGTTAGTTGAAAATTCTAACTAGAAGTTATTAGTTAGTCCCGTAAAAAGTAACTGATAGAAGTTATTAGTTAGTTAATTTTAAAACAAACGAATAAAATAGAAGTTAGCCAAAAAAACTAATGAATAGTTCTATTCGATAGAATTTCTATTCGTTATTCCCAAGTATGACAAATACGCACGTCAGCTGTCTGCTACAATTCTGATCGGCTCGAGAAAAAAAAGCGCTTAGAGACAGACCTCAGAAGAAAGCTTAGAATCTGCCAAATAAAACGATACCTAACTCGATCCAGTTCAATCCGATTTTGTCAGTCATAGAGCCTTTGCCGTAAACAGTGTTTGTGAGTCGAAAAATCGACACAAAACACTCGGAGGGTTAAGCCTAAGTACTTTAATACTTTTCAATGAAATGGGGACCATACAAAGAAGGTATTTTAAGTTTATACCGGAGTTTGAAACAAGAGTTGCAAACAGAAATTCCAACCATCTCTAAAAACGCACATTTTTAGACAAAACATTTTGCTGTTGCAAACAGTTTTTTTAGTGTTTGCTACAGACATTTTTGTTTCCACCTGAAGTTAGGAAAGATCAAAGCAAACTTTTGTTTGCAACACTGGTTTTGGTCACTATGTGCCATTGAAACACGAAACAGAAACATTTCCCCACCATCTACTATGCTGCCACCTCCACTCTCATTTACTTGATCACTCGTACCACTATGTTTCACGACTCAAGTGTCATTAACCCGTCTGGACTGCTAGTAGGCCTAGTCTTCTCGTGCGTGTTGTGAGTGATCAGTGGTGATTGACAATGGAAAATTAACTGAATGAGATGGAGTGGGTGGGTGACAACATTCTAAAGATTATTAGCTTGTACAGAGAGCAGAAAGTCCTGTGGAACCAAACTATTTCCGATTACAAAAATAAAAAAACATGAAAAATTACGTATGGAATGACATTTCATTCAAATTGTCTGACACTTGACATCCTCATACCTGGGAATGATCCCAGGAACCAGACCATAATCAGGCGAGTCATAATCGAGGCTGAAAGTGTTTCAATCATTTTCATGAAACACGGAAATAAAATCATGAAATAAAAATTGCAAACTTTAGTTTGAAACTAGGCTACTGTTTGCAACTGCTGTTTGCAATAACAAAAGTTTGAAACTTTTTGTTTGGCATAAAATAAAGTATAAAACATACAATTTCAATTTTATACTATCAGAATTGATTTTGGAATTGAAGCCTATTAGGTAAAATTTTATAAGTAATTTAGGCTAATTACTTTTCTGCAATTACAGGAGATCCAGATGATACATCTTTGCGAAAGGTCGAAAAGGAAGTTTTGATACCAAAAATTATTAGAGACAGGTCCAGGGAAGAAAAGTGTATAGCAGAAGTTGCTGGTGAGTTTTTTTCTGTACTGTAGGCCTAAACCAAAATTTGATAATTATTGTCACAGAAAATTGAACCTGTGTCTAAATCATTTAAGTTAGTAGGCCAATTAAAAATTAATCACGGAACAACCTATGCCTTTCAGGGTTCCCACTCAATTCTCGAAAAATGAAATTTAGGCCTATGGGGTTTTACAATTATATTTTTTTGTATCATTGTTAAAGGTTAGGGGCTCGAATACTAGAAAAGACTCGTTATGGATCATAAACATAAACAAATAACGTTTTTGGCCCAAAAGTAAACAAAACCTTATGCTAACAAAACCCCGTGGGGGAAATGTTTAGTTTTATAAATAATCAGCTGTAAGCAAATTAGTGAATAAGCGTAAACTTTAAAATAGAACAATTAATATCTAGCAGGTGCTAGCAAAGCTGTAGCAAACCAGACTAATAAAGGTTGTCAAGTGAGTTTATGGTTTGATAATCCAGACACAGAGTAAACATTATGACGAGACAAGGTAATATATTATGTTTCTGGATATTGAGAAAGCGTACGACAATATCGGCCATAACCACTTATCCTCAGTCTTGCAGGAGTTACCTATTCCTAGGAAACTGATTGAAATCCTATACTCTAATACGAGCAATGTTTGCTTGTATGTATGCTTGCTTGCTTGCTTGTATGTATGCTTGCTTGCTTGCTTGCTTGCAGAAAGATCTCGAAAACGGCTCCGACGATTTTCTTCAAATCTTGTAAATAGTTTATTTTTGGCCTAAAAACAAGTTTCATGCAGTTAGAACTGCCAACAAAAATCTAATTACGTAGAAAAACGAAACTGAAAGTCACATTTTTTAAACATTAGTCTTACGGGTTGCTAAGTAACCATGTTGGTTGAATTAAATAACAAGGAAAAGGCAAACAAAAGACTTGAAGTTGTAGCACGTGTTCATAATAAACCAACTACCCACAGTATACTAGCAAATTACATATACAGTACAAAAGGAAAAACATCACTTGTTAATATTGAGCAAAGATTATAGCCTACCAAAGATTGATTATACTTAAGATTACTCGAGACATTGTAGTCAAGGGTAGCAGTGCGAAGTCTAGGATCTGTTTATGACGAATACATTAAGGTATCTGCAATCCTAAAATGCTATGGGAAGGGAAGGAAACAGGTCCGTGACGTAGGAAGTAGTGAAGGAAGTAGTAAATGCGAGCAGTCCGGAGTGTGGGGACTGTTTATGACGATAAGATTAGGGTATCTGCAATCCTAAAATGCTATGGGAAGGGAGGGAAACAGGTCCGTGACGTAGGAAGTGGTGAAGGAAGTAGTCAAGGCGAGCTGTCCGGAGTGTGGGAACTGTTTATGACGATTAGATAAGGGTATGGGCTATCCTAAAATGCTATGGGAAGGGAGGGAAACAGGTCCGCGACGTAGGAAGTGGTGACGGAAGTAGTCAAGGCGAGTTGTCCGGAGTGTGGGAACTGTTTATGACGATTAGATTAAGGTATCTGCAATCTTTAAATGCAATGGGAAGGGAGGGAAACAGGTCCGCGACGTAGGATGTGGTGAAGGAAGTAGTCAAGGCGAGCTGTCCGGAGTGTGGGAACTGTTTATGACGATTAGATTAATGTATCTGCAATCTTTAAATGCAATGGGAAGGGAGGGAAACATGTTTGCGACGTAGGAAGTGGTGAAGGAAGTAGTAAAGGCGATTAGTATGGAGTGTGGGAACTGTTTATGAGGATTAGATTAACGTATCTGCAATTCTGAAATGCTATGGGAAGGGAGAAAAACAGGTCCGCTACGTTGGAAGTGGTGAAGGAAGTAGTCAAGGCGAGCTGTCCGGATTGTGGGAACTGTTAATAACGATTAGATTAAGGTATCTACAATCTTAAAGTGCTATGGGAATGGAGGGAAACAGGTCCATGACGTAGGAAATGGTGTAGGACGTTGTAAAGGCGAGCCGTGTGGAGTTTGGGAACAGATTTATGTATCTCCGATACTAAGACTGCTTTCAGAGTGAACTAATGATTTTCTCCGAGCAAAGCTCGGTCCCCAGGTACTCCTATACTCTAATACGAGCAATGTTTGCTTGTATGACATGTATGCTTGCACCAAGATCTCGAAAACGGCTCCGACGATTTTCTTCAAATGTTGTAAATAGTTTATTTTTGGCCTAAAAACGAGTTTACTGCAGTTAGAACTGCCAACAAAATTCTAATTACGTAGACAAATAAAAACTGAAAGTCAGATTTTTTTAACATTAGGCTTATGGGTTGCTAAGTAACCATGTTAGTTGAATTGAATAACAAGGAAAAAGTAAACAAAAGACTTGTAAGTAGTCTATCCACAGTATACTAGCAATTACAAAATACAGTACAAAAGGAAAAACATTACTTGTTACTACTGAGCAGAGATGATACTGAAGATTACTGGATACATTGTAGGAGGACTTTTTTTATCTATGATTGTAGTAAAGGCTAGCAGTGTGGAGTGTGGGAACTGTTAATGACGATTATATTAAGGTATCTACATTCCTAAAATGCTATGGGAAGGGAGGGAAACAGGTCCGCGACGTAGGAAGTGGTGCTGGAAGTAGTTAAGGCGAGTAGTCTTGAGTGTGGGAATTGTTTATGACGATTAGATTAGGGTATCTGCAATCCTTAAATGCCGTTGGAAGGGAGGGAATAGGTCCACGACGTAGGAAGGGGTGAAGGAAGTAGTAAATGTAAGCAGTCCGGAGTGTGGGAACTGTTAATGACGATTAGATTAGGGTATCTGCAATCCTTATATGCCGTTGGAAGGAAGGGAAACAGGTCTGCGACGTAGGAAGTGGTGAAGGGAGTAGTGAAGGGTAGTAGTGAAGGGTGAGCAGTCTGGAGTGTGGGAACTGTTAATGGGGATTAATTTAGGGTATCTACAATTCTAAAATGCTATGAGAAGGGAGGAAAACAGGTCCATAACATAGGAAATGGTGAAGGAAGTAGTAAGGCTAGCAGTGCAGAGTGTGGGAACTGTCTGTGACATTTATATATCTGCAAATCTAAAATGGTATAGGGAAGGAGGGCAAACAGGTCCACAACGTAGGGAGTGGTGAAGGAAGTAGTAAAGGTAAGCAGTGTGGAGTTTGGGAGTGGATTAATGTATCTGCAATACTAAACTGTTTTCAGAGTGATCACTAATGATTTTCCCCGAGCAATGCTCGGTCCCCAGGTACCAGTGTTGGGGAAGCTACTTTTAAAATGTAGCTAGCTACAGCTACTGCTACATTTCCAAAAAAGTAGCTTGGCTACAGCTACAGTTCCGAAAAAGTAGCTAGCTACAACTACAGCTACAATGAAATGTAGCTACAGCTACAATTTTAGCTACTTTTCCAAAGACGTTACTTTTTATTCCACGCACATTAGGTGAATGTAAAATTAATTGCAACTACATTTTTTATTGAACAAACATTTAAACAAAAAATGTCAGTATTGTATCAAACATTACTTGGAAAACAAACTATTCTTAGATTGTATTTAATTTGTTGGCATTATAAACCTAACATTACAACAACAGAACCAAATAGTTGGGTGTCCCATATCATATTTAGTACTTATTTTTAAATATTGCATTATTTCTAAGCATCTTATATGTAAGTTTCATTAAGTTCAAAGGACATACAACCAAACAATATTTTAAAAGCTCATTTTATTATTTCTTTAATATAGATTCATTTATAGATGTCTTATATCAACAATTAAGACATCTAAAGTGTAAAACGATTATTAAAAAAACAACAATTATTATTAAAACAATTAAGTGTAAAACGATTATTTAAAAATACTTTTTTGTGTTACAGAGCCTAGCCTACTGAAATTGGAGTTTATTGCCTTTCTTTACTTTTGATGTGAAAACGACATTGCTATAACTTTTAACCATAGTGATAAGTTACTTGTTCTATGAATAACACTTTTCAATGTCAAGTCAAGAAATTGTCCTTTATTGTCATTATGCATAGGGCAAATTGTGCTTCAACCTAGTTGGTACAGAAAACAGCATTCAGCAACTTATCCTGAAATCGGCTTTTAATTTAAACATGTTGAAATTTGTTAAGTAAAAATAACATGCCTTGGCTATGTAACAAGTTGGCTATGTAACAAGTTGGCTATAGTAGGCTTATTCTTGCAAGGACTAAACAGATATATTCCTAATAAATAATTGAACTTGGAACTTGGCATTCGTCTTAAACCATAGTATAGCCTAGGAATAGTCCTATACAAGAGCTGTTTTTTCAATGTAAGTTTCATGTTATGTGGAGATTTTTTCGTCACAATTATCATGTAGTCTAGGCATATCTTAAATCTCATCAGGTAATTTCCTCTTTATTAATTTAGTAAACCTTTGAAAAATCTTCGTGTTCTAACCAAGGAAGGGCTTGTGATGATGAACCACAATCAACAGCTGAAGCAAAGGTTGATAGACCAGCTTTACATTATTTTAAGGTTTAGAGTTGGTTTCCATTAAAACCCAAGTTGAAACACTAACGATATAATAAAGAAACTAAATTTATTACTAATTTCCCTGTCTATCACTTGCAAGCATTCTATAGCTTCTCTTGTCACCGGTAACATTTAAACGTCGTCTGCATCTAGCGATTTTATTTATCTGACAGTAATCATAGAGTAGTAAATTAAGGAAATGAGAGCCAAAAATGTGTATAACACTCATTTAATGGCCTCCATGTCCACACAACGTTGTAATAGGGAATAAAACGGCTGCAACCAGCTGTGTGAAGCCAAGAAAGTAGGCCTAATTTTTTTTTAAAATCTCAGTTTGGGAAAGAGGTTGTTTCACATAAGGTTGAGGTTATGATAAAAATCACTATCTCAAACAATGTTAATGTAGCGAGAAAAGTAGCTAAAATTCCGCTACAACTACTTTAAAAATGTAGCTAGCTACAGCTAAAGCTACAATATCTTAAAAGTAGCGTAGCTACAGCTAACACTACAAAATAAGTAGCGC